ATTTGCGTGGTCCATGGGAAGATTATCATGGAACTGACCGACATTTTGAATAAAGAACCCTCACCCCACTTGGAAATTTAAAGAGAAGGGTAAAAAGAGGGTGTGGGGGAGCTGATCTCGTATAGAATTTATGCATAATGCCTACACCCGAAGGAATGAGACAATCTACACATTCTGCTCGTGTTACGAGAGGGAGAAGAAGGGAATACATCGTGCCAGTGGGTAAAGTTGGAGCGGATGAGAGTCAGAGGGTGACTGAGAGAGACGATGCTGTAGTTGCATGTCATGGCATGGAGGATTATCTGTGTCACAACTTGATTGAAAGCCCACGGAACAGAACGTTGTCAAAAAAAAAAAAAACTTGACTACCAACGCCACATGGCATGGAGGATTATCGAGAAAAGATATAAACCCGAACGAAAAGTATACTAGCAAGCTTCACAATATAACAAATACAAACAAAACGTGAAAGTTGCGGCTATTGAGCCTTCATCGGCACACACAAAATAAACAATACTACATATATAAAAAAAAATCACTTAGCTGGTATCACGATGCGGCCAGGTCGGTTGTTACTCAGCAGACTGACCGCACGTGTCAGCTGGGGGAATAAATACCCCCCCCCTTTCTCTCTCTCTCTCTCTCTCTCTCTCTCTCTCTCTCTGTGGAGTATCAGGGGCCATAACTGGGGTGTAGGGGTTGAAACTGTAAGGGCAGTTCAATCCCCTGGAAGTTTAACTGAAACCGTGTCGGCAATTCATTCCGGAGGGCGTCAAAGTCCCCAGAGTATAAATAAAGCGATTCTCAAGAGACTTGCGGACTCTGTCGCTGGAATGGCTAGATTTAATGGCTGTCACCTCCATGTCGTTGACACCTTAGATCCTGGGAATTGAAGTGCAACGGTACTGGTTTCAGGGCACCATTTTGCACATCCAAAAGATGTTGTCTGAACCTGTCAGCCAGCCGTAGACCTGTTTTACCAATCTATTTCATGCCACATCTCTTGCAGTTGATGGCATAAATTACATTGCGGCTGGTACAATAGAATGCTTCACGTATGTGGAAGGTGGCGATAGGGAATTCTAGACTATTACCTGTACCACATATGGGCAGGTTCTGCATACCGGTCTATGGCAAGAGACCGTGCCGAAGTGGGGCTCAGACGCGGGGCGTAACCTACTCTTGACTAGAATGTCCTTACGATAATGCATGAAAGCCACTAGAGGACGTTCAGAGAAAATCGTGCTGGTGGCAGGGTTCGGCTTTAAGGATGGAGAGATGCCTAAGGAAAATATTCTTGGCCCAGATGTTATGAGGGTGGTAGGTAAGTGTGAGAATAGGTCTGTTACAGTGACGTTTCAGTTTGGAAGCGAGAGCTTCGGCACGATGGAAAGACCCTGCGTGGTGAAAGGCGGCAGATAGGACATGTTCAGGATACCATCGAAGCCGAAAGAAGTCCAACATTTCCAGGGCCTTGTTATGAAAGTCGTCGTTCTCCTGGCATAGTCTGCGGAGGCGTAGAAGTTGGGAGAACGGAATAGAGTCCTTGCAGAAAGAGGGATAGGAGGAGGTGTGGAGAAGAAAAGTGTGGGAATCAGTAGGCTTGTAGTACACCGAGAAAAGGCCCATAAAATTCACGGTGACAGTGAGATCCAGGAAATGCACTGACGAAGGTGAGATGCTAGAAGTGCATCGGATGCTGGGATGAAAGTTAGAGAAAAAATGAATAAAGTTCTGCAGCTCTTGCAGGGGCATATCGGTTACACCGATGCAATCATCGATATACCTCATGTAGAGCTCGGGGAGCCTACCGGTATATGCATGACGTATCTGGTGCTCGAGGTGCCCCATGAAAAGGCAGGCAGAGCTGGGTACCATCATGGTCCCCATAGCGACACCGCTGATCTGGTTGAAATAGTGGCCATTAAACTCAAATGAGTTTAGAGTAAGCACTAGCTCAGCGAGACGAATCAAGGGGTCAGTAGCTATGGCAGGACTGACTCTCTGATCTAGAAAGAACCTCAAAGCCTGGAGGTCATCCGAATGTGGAATAGAGATGTAGAGAACGGAGGATTATCGGTGTCACACTTGATTGAAAACCCACGGAACAGAACGTTGTCGATAAACTTGACTACCAACGCCACATGGCATGGACTTTCAAAATAATATATAATGGGTTCCATGACACACTCACAAAATATACTATTATACGTGAGGTTATGATATAATATGAAACATATAATTTAAACTTTTAAAGAGAAATTAAATTCATGGTTAAAGAAAAAATTTGGGAGGAAACGGAAAAAGGGGGGGGGGGGGGGAGGGGCGTTTAACCCCATTACAAATTTTCTAAGGAGGAAATTGTGGTGGGGCCCTATGATTTGTTTTTTTTTTTAGGGGGGGGGGGGGGGTGGGGGGGGGGGGGGGTTGACCTATGATAGCCTGAGCTCTCAGGTTTCCGTTCCAATGATGCGAGACTAATTTATTACTATTAGAAAAT